CTTACTAGGTCTTTATAGAGTGGTATTAGTACCTCACTTGATCTTGATTGTATCCCTCTGTTAATACAATTTAGGATTGCATTGGCATTTTTGGCTGCCGCCGCACACTGTTATCTCATATATAATTGGTTGTCCATGAAGACTCCAAGATCCCTTTCATCAGCCTTTAGAGAAGCTGCTTGCAGGAGTGAAGTTGCCAGAGATGACAACTCTTAAGACGCGCCTGCAGTTCTTCCGGTGAAGTAGTTTCATAAATAACTGCAGTGACAGGAAGGCCATTTATATTCCAGGGTGAGCTTTTAGAGAGATAAATTGCTAATATTTCTATTATGGGGACAATTACACCCCCTATCTTTGTTTCCCCGCTGGGAAGATTAATACTCATTCACCCTGGAGAAGGGGGTGGGTGGGATGAGATGCCTGGAAAGATTTGTTTTCATTTAGAGTCTGTTGGTTCAAAAATTCTGTCCAGCATTCTGGATAATTGGCTTTGTTCCCTAGGCTTTCCCACATGTGCGCAGTCTGGAAAGCCACTCCAAAGAAATTCATTCTATCAGAAAACTTGAAATGGAAAGATCCATCATCAAGGTTGACGAAGGAAAGTGGATTCTGGACGCAGAGAAAAAAACATTGCACAATTCTACTTTTTAAAGCAATATAGCTGCAGAATGAGATTCTTTTCCATGCACCCTGAAAAAAAGAATAAATTAAGAGATGGGGTTTTTGTTTAATGATCAACACTGATTTCATGTGAAAGCACAACAGATCTTACAAATCAGTCATTTGCTGTAAGTTTTTTAAGTATTGATTTCCTTAATATTAAAGATTAGATCACCCTCTAGTGGAAACTGGAATGTCATACTTATATCCCTTGAAGGATATTTAAGCCAGAACAGATAACCTGTGATTTTGGATAACTCTGAATTGGATGCTAAGATTTGGGAATGGGGGGGGGGTTTCAACTGCTCTGTCGCAGGAACCCCTAAATCAGTTTTCTCAAACTTGGCAACATGTGGACTTCAACTCCCAGAATTCCCCAGCCAACCTGTTGAAGTTCACATGTCTTAAAGTTGCTACGTTTGACATAAATGCTCCAAAAAACCCGTTTTCCCTTAACTTCCAACAAATTGCACAGCACAAGGAATTGGACAAATTGCACAGTATCGATCTTTTCCCATCATATGTTTTACAGTAAAAAGAGATATATTTGAATAGGACAACACCCAAAAGTGTCCACAGGGAGAGTCCAAAAAGTCAAAATTGATTTATATCCTGTCAGTATTATTTTCATAAATAATTCAAGGCAGCAAACATACCTAATTTTTTTATTTGCATTCAGCTTTTATTACTTCAAGAAATAACTCAAGGCAGCGAACATATCCAACACACCTCCTCCTCCTAATTTCCCTATAACACACAACCCTGTGAGGTAGGTTGGGCTAAAAGAAAGGGACTGGCCCAAAGTCATCCAGCTGTCTTTCATGCCTAAGGCGGGACTAGAACTCACAGTCCCCTACTGATTGGCTCAAAGTCATCAAACCAGCTTTCATGCCGAAGACAGGATTAGAACTCAGGATCTTCTGGTGGCATTTCACCACATGTAAAAAAATGGGGCTTTTATCTCAAGGTTGGGGCCTCCATTTTGAATCCACTCCCTGAGGAACTCTAGGAACAAGTAATCATTCTGCTCTTGAACATGGAGGCTTCATTTTGCTTGACAATGACATACCCAAAAATATTGCAAATGTTGAACTATCCACAGGTTAACCAAGTTTAGTGCATCAGGTAAATTTATATATTTATTTTTATCTTGCCTTTATTTTTATAAATAACTCAAAGGCAGCAAACATTTTTCTTTCGCTTATTCTTTCTCTTTGCTTCTGTACCCATTATTATTATTATTATTATTATTGGTTAATCTTTAGTGAGATTCACAGCCTTTGAGGCTGGTTAATAGCTCAGCAGCTCGAGTCCTAACCAAGGACCTAGGAACTGTTAAGGTATCGTCGGAGGATGTAAGCTGTTCCGAGTAAGGTGGTTTTTTGTAGAGTCAAAATGTTCAAGTCCGGCAAATTTAGAATTTCTAAATAGCGGGGTAGCCCTTTGGGTATTGCTCCGAGGGCTCCAATTACAATCGGGACAACACACGATTTCTTTTTCCACAGTCGCTCAACTTCAATTTGTAAGTCCCGGTACTTTGTGATTTTTTCTTGCTGCTTATCTTCAATTCGTGCATCACCAGGTATTGCAATGTCAATGAACCATACTTTTTTCTTTTCAACTATTGTTATGTCAGGTGTGTTGTGGACCAAGTGCCTGTCAGTCTGAATCCTAAAGTCCCACAAGATCTTGAGTTTCTCATTCTCTAAAACTTTCTCAACCTGATGTTCCCAGTGGTTTTTGCTGTACTCAAATCCAAACTTCTGGCACAATTTCCAGTGAATGATTTTAGCAACACGGTCATGTCGTTGTAGGTAGTCAGTTTGTGAAATTTTGCTGCACCCACTGATCAGGTGGTCAACTGTCTCTTCTTTTTCATTGCAGAGGCGGCATTTGCTGTTGGTGGTAACATGTTGAATTTTTGCCTTCATACAGTTTGTGGCTAGGGCTTGTTCTTGAGCTGCCAAAATAAAGCTTTCTGTTTCTTTTTTCAGTACTCCTGATCTTAACCAGTTCCAAGTTAGTTTCTGGTCAGCTTTGCCTTCAATACTTTTCAAGTATTGGCCATGCAGAGCTTTGTGTTTCCAATTTTCAGCTCGCTGCTCAATTACTTCTTTCTTATATTCTGCTTTTGTTTTAGTCGTCTTTAAAAGGCCTCCTTTATTTACTTCCTTAATCATTGGTTCTTCACTTTTCTGGATGTAACCATTCAAGCTGCATTTTTCTTCTTCCACAGTCTGCTTTACTTGTAGGAGTCCTCGACCACCCTCTGCTCTTGGTAAATATAATCGGTCAACATCACTTTTAGGGTGCAAGGCATGATTCATTGTCATAAGCTTCCTTGTTTTTCTGTCCAAATTGTTTAACTCCATCTGGGTCCAGTCAATTATTCCTGCAGAGTATCTAATCACAGGTATAGCCCAGGTATTTATGGCTTTTATGATGTTTCCTCCACTCAATTTGGACATTAATATCTTACGAATTCGTCGAATGTACTTGTTGTTGTTGTTGTTATTATTATTATTATTATTATTATTATTATTCCTTCTTTCCTTTTTTTCTTTTCTTTTCTTTCTTTCAGAGTTTAGCTTGTATTCTCTTTCAGGATTGTTATTTAAACCTTCAATAAAAAATGTTTTGTTTTAAAGCAAAAACATTTTTCACTGGAAAAACAATGAGATAGATTAAAAACAAAGGCAGGATAAAGATCAGCATTTCTCCATTTTAGAAACTTTTAAATCATGTCTTAAAGTTGCCAAGCTGGAGAAACGCTGAAAAATCAAAGCACAACTGCACTGCATTGTTCAGAAACAACCCTGAAGCTGCAACCATTAGAATAGAGAATAGAACAGAGTTAGAAGGGATCTTGGACGTCTTCTAGTCCAACCCTCTGGCCAAGCAGGGTTATATACCTTTCTGGACAAGTGTTGGACAACTTCTGGAGGCAAGTTGTTCCACTGGTTAATTGTTCTGTCAGGAAATTTCTCCTTAGTTCTAGGTTGCTTCTCTCCTTGGCTAGTTTCCATCCATTGCTTCTTGTCCTGCCTTCAGGTACTTCGGAGAACAGGTCGACCAATTCTTCATGGCAGCCCCTCAGATATTGGAAGACTGCTATCATGTCACCCCTAGTCCTTGTTTTCATTAAACTGGACATGCCCAATTCCTGCAACCGTTTTTCATATATTTTAGCCTTCAGTCCCCTAACTCCACATACCTGGCAATTCCTCAGCTAAGAAATGCTGCCTTAGCCAATAAAGTTCTGCCTAGAGATATCCTGTCTTGATTAAAAGTAAGAACAGCATAAACCACAAAGAAAAGGCCTTCTTAGTTCTGGTTGCTTCTCTCCTTGATGAAGGGAGTGGGAATGGAATGGAATGGAATGGAACCTTGGAGGTCTTCTAGTCCAGCCCCCTACTCAAGCAGGAGAACCTATACAATCTCAGACAAGTGACTGTCCAGCCTCTTCTTAAAAACCTCCAGTGATGGAGCGCCCACGATTTCTGAAGGCAAGCTGTTCCACTGGTTAATTGTTCTCACTGTTAGGAAGTTTCTCCTTAATTCCAGGTTGCTTCTCTCCTTGATTAGTTTCCATCCATTGTTTCTTGTCCTGCCCTCTGGTGCTTTGGAAAATAGGTTCATCCATCCTTCCTTCCTTCCTTCCTTCCTTCCTTCCTTCCTTCCTCCCTCCCTCCCTCCCTCCCTCCCTCCCTCCCTTTTTTCTTTGTCTGTCTGTCTGTCTCTCTCTCTCTTTCTTTCTTGAATTAGAATAACATAATTGGAAGGGACCTAGCTTGGAGGTCTTCTAGTCCAACCTCCTGCTTAGGCAGGAAACCCTACACCACTTCAGACAAATGGTTATCCAATCTCTTCTTTAAAACTTCCAGTGTTGGAGCATTCACAATTTCTGGAGGCAAGTTGTTCCACTGATTAATTGTTCTGTCAGGAAATTTCTCCTTAGTTCTAAGTTGCTTCTTTCCTTGATTAGTTTCCACCCATTGCTTCTTGTCCTGCCCTCAGGTGCTTTGGAGAATAGCTTGACTCCCTCTTCTTTGTGGCAGCCCCTGAGATATTGGAACACTGCTATCATGTCTCCCCTAGTCCTTCTTTTCATTAAACTAGACATACCCAGTTCCTGCAACTGTTCTTCATATGTTTTAGCCTCCAGTCCGCTAATCATCTTTGTTGCTCTTCTCTGCACTTTCTAAGGGCTCAACATCCACAGTCCCTCACTGGCGAGGCGGAGAGGCGTCTACGTATCTTTGGGTGGCTGGGTGGGAACCGGAACGAGGACAAAAAGCGCATCTGAGGCGGAAAGAAAGAAAAGATAGGCAGTTACTCACTTTCAGGCTCCTCCTTCGGGCAGCTGACGACGATCCTGCTGTGAGAAGAAGAAAACGAAGCGCGAAACATGTCCGGGCGTGACTCCGGATTGCAAGACCCCGAGGCCGCCTCGGGTTTCTCCGACCTGAGCGACTCCGAGTTGTTGCAGATAGAAGAGCCGAAGATCGGGTGAGCGGCGGGGGACTTTTGTTTCTCTAGGGTTGCGGTTCGCGGGACAGGGCTGGCCCCGCTTCACAAAACCTCGGTTTGAAGCCCCCGTCCTTGGTGTGCGCGGTCCCCAGAGCCACCCACGAACTTAACGCGCTCGGTTGCGCCGTTTTTTTAACGGTTAAGCCGCCTTTGGGGGTTCTCGAACCCGCGTTGCCGCGCAACTCATGGAAACACCCTTGCAGCCTCGGATGTGCCACGGGACTAAAGCGAACGCGGGTTTGTGCCTTGCGTGTTTTTTTTTTTCTCCGCCCGCATTTGCGCTCCCGTGGGGGATTTAAGAAAAGTATAGGGTGGGGGGGGTCACCTTGTAAAGGGAGGCATAAACGTTTAATAAATAAAAGGAAACAAACTGCCTGGCCCAGGATTAAAAGTAGAAAGACAGTTTCTGCAATATTACTACACACCCTAGTGAAAGGCAAAATAATGTGCTATCCTAAATGCAATCCTAAACAGGCCGGGAGTCAGTGACTTAACTCAGAGGTCTTCAAACTTGGCCGCTTTAAGACTTGTGGATTTCAACTCCCACGGCTGGCTGGAGAATTCTGGAAGTTGAAGTCCACATGTCTTAAAGCGGCCAAGTTTGAAGACCTCTGACTTAACTGGTCTTTCCCATCATCTCTGTGATTCTTGTTACTCTTTTGTGGGATGTGATCCTACTGAATACCTCTGAATCAGGGGTCTCCAACCTTGCCAACTTTATTTATTTTATTTTATTTTATTCATATTTATATGCCGCCCTTCTCCCGAAGGACTCAGGGCGGCTCACAACAATAAAAACAAGCAAACAATAAGTTAATGCTAAAATAATCCAATTAAAATCCCCAACAGTTAAACTAAAAACTCCCAGTAGATCAGGAGATTTGCTGAAAAAGCCATGTCTTCAGGCCACCGTGGAAAGAGCGGAGGTCAGGGGCCGTCCGGAGCCCAGTGGGTAATTCATTCCAGAGGGTCAGTGCGGCCACAGAGAACGCCCTCATCCTGGGCGCCACCAGCCAACATCAAGAGCCTTGATAGTACAGGGGTTTAGTGCACCCTGTTATTAACACAGCTGCCTGCAATTTCTGCTGGTTCGAATCTCTCCAAGGCTCAAGGTTGACTCAGCCTTCCATCCTTTCTAAGGTAGGTGAAATGAGGACCCAGTTTGTGGGGGCAATAAGCTGACTTTGTATAAAACATACAAAAGTATGAAGGCTATTGCTTAACGCATTGTAAGCCGCCCTGAGTCTCCGGAGAAGGGCGGCATATAAATCAAATTAAAAAAAAAAAAACATTGTCTGCCCAATGGCACCCGGAAGAGGGCAGCCCTATGTGAACACACTGGGCGGTGGGAGGCTGGTAGGAGGTGGTCCTGCAAGTACCCCGGGCCCATGCCATGTAAGGCTTTATAGGTAAGTACCAGCACATTGAAGCGAATCCGAAGGACCACCGGCAACAAGTGCAGCTCGCACAGGAGAGGTGTAACACTTTATGACTTGTGGACTTCAGGAATGCTGGGAGCTGAAGTCCACAAGTTGGCAAGGTTGGAGTCCCCTCCTCTAAATCACTTGTGTGTGATTTAGAGTGATCCTTACTCCGTGTGCAGCATTTGTGGATCTCCGTCTTATCTGGTTAACTAACACATTGCTTGTGTAGAAAGTTAGCAGCACCCACCCCTCTTAGAAGAATGGAATATTTTAGGAAATATTAAAAAGGCAGAATATTATCTTTTCCCTCAAGGAGAAACTTGTTTCTAAAAAAAAAAAGAAACTCAGAACCTCAGCTCTCTGCCCCAAGTAGAAATTTAAGGAGCCAACTTTTAGAAATGCAGATTTGGTAATCCATTCAAGACAGGATTAAAAAAACAAAACAAAACAAGGAAGCCAGCATCTAGGATTAGTTACATTTGTTAAACAAGATTTTAAAACCCCAACTCATTGCCTGGCCTTCAAGAGACAAGCTAATTAAAATCAAATAACAAAATACACAAAATGAGCCTCTTAAATTACAAAATGCTGTAGAACAAACTGTATAAAAATCCATGATACTCATCAAACCGGGGGGGGGGGGGGTCAGCTACCCAGAATCACACGGAGCTTGGTGGTTCTGCTTCACCATTAAACCATCTTTCCAATTGGTCCCCATGTTTCCAGGGTCTTTGTCCCCATTTGGATCTGAACCAGGCAGAAACAATGGCTACCAACTTGCCTTCCATTGAGGACCTGTATACTGCACCAGTCAAAAAGAGGGCTGTGAAAATATTTACAGACCCCTCGCATTCTGTACATAAACTGTTTCAACTCCTACCCTCAAAACGACGCTATAGAGCACTGCACACCAGAACAACTAGACACAAGGACAGTTTTTTCCCCAAATGCCATCACTCTGCTAAACAAGTAATTCCCTCAACACTGTCAAACTATTTACTAAGTCTGCACTACTATTAATCTTCTCATCGTTCCCACCACCCATCTCCTCCCACTTATGACTGTATGACTGTAACTTTGTTGCTTGTATCATTTGTTCCCTATGACTATCATTAAGTGTTGTACCTTATGATTCTTGATGAACGTATCTTTTCTTTTATGTTCACTGAGAGCATATGCACCAAGACAATTTCCTTGTGTGTCCAATCACACTTGGCCAATAAAGAATTCTATTCTATCTATTCTATTCTATATTTCCCCCAACACTTGGAAGCATGGAAAGAACGGTCTTCCTTAAGACTGCTGGAGGTAAGGCGCCTCAGTCAAAAATATCTCTCTCTCTCTCTCTCTCAAAAGCACTTTTAGGACATGATAATCCAAACTTCTTGCATGCTCATGACAGGGAACCCCAACTCCTAAGTGGTCCCAGGCCTCAGCATGTTGATTCTCGGACAGCTAATGTGGAAGAAAGGAAGAAGAGGACAGCAAAGAGAAAGAGAATGAGGAGAACGCCTCTCGAAGCTTTCCACCTGCGCTATCTCTGCGTCACAGATCTCTCTGCTCAAGTATGGTGTGAGCAACAGGCAGTTTATCACAAAGAAAAGCCAAGTGTGCAATTGCCAGAGAAGACAACAATTGTCTTAAATACAGGAAAGTCCATCCATCTTGCCAGAGGTAACTGGATCAGTCATTTGGATGTTTGGGTTAAATTCTACTCTTCTCTCTACTTTCTTTAATAAATTGCATTCTAAGGGGTGGGATATAGGATCCTTGAGATGTTATGAACACGTCCACATTTTCTATCTGTAAATTAGTGGGTGTTTTCTGCATAATAAAACCGCTAGTCCTTAAGGTGCCACAGAACTAACTTTTTTGTTCTGGTGGTAATGTGACTGCCCTTTTAGAATGGGACTTAACAATGGAAAGGAACAACATCTAGGCTAGTGATGGCTTATATTTTTGTCGTCGCATGCCAAAAGTGGGCGGAGCAGGCGGGGTCATGCTCGTGCGTGCCCACACCCATAATTCAATGCCTCCTGTGCCCCAAACCCCTGCACATGTGCGCACGACCCCCCCGCGTTCCCCTCACTTTTGGCATACGATGGCACAATGTGCCCAGAAGGCCCGTATTTCACTCTTCTCAAGCTCCAGAGGCTTTCTTCGAGCCTGGGGAGGGCAAAAACGGCCTCCCTCCCCCCCAGAGGCCCTCCAGAGGTCAAAATGGCCCGTTTCCCAACTTCCGGTGGGACCGGAAGGCCCATTTTTTGCCCTCCCCAGGCTCCAGAGTCCTTCTAGGAGCCTGGGGAGAGCGAAAATGCCCCCCCCCCTGAGGTCCTCCGGAGGTCAGAAACAGTCTATTTCCCGACTTCCAGTGGGCCCGAAAATAAGCTGGCTGGCGCGCACATGCGTGCTGGAGCTGAGCTAAGGCAACACTCACGTGCCCACAGATATGGCTCCGCGTGCCACAGGTTCACAATCATGGATCTAGGCAGTTGTGGCTGATCTTTAAAAAGATGATCAGGGTCACCCTGTACTTGGATGGGAGACCACCCGGAGATGCCAGAGTTATAAATTAGATTGTAAACTGAATATAGGACTGAGAAGTTGATAGTGGCAAACCACAGCAATATTGCTGCTGAAAAAGTTACCAAAATAAGGAGAGAAACTTTGATCTTTCAACAGTGGGTCATCGTTTCGAATCCTGCCCTCATCCCCAACCTGGTGTGTGATTGCTTAAAATTAAGGCCATGTAGTTTCCTGTCATTTTTAAGGGGGAAATGGCATAATCCTTTAAACTTGTGTTTCTCCATCTTGGCAACTTGAAGATGTGTGGACTTCAGCTCCCAGAATTCTCTGGCCAGCCAGAATTCTGGAAGTTGGAAGTCCATAAATCTTCAAATGGCTACATTAAACCAGATTTGTAATTGCTCAATAATGCAGGAATTTTATTTAAAGAGGAAAATATGTTCTTATATGGATATCACTTCTGGAATTTGTGCTTGTGAAGAAAAAAAAAAGCAACTTTGATCTTGGTTTTGTTGATTAGAAAGATTTAGTAATATAGGGAATGGCTAGTTATACATTAATGTGTAAAAGCAAAAAGTTGAGGTTGGAGTGTGTTTATCTTGTACTATGTTAAGAAGAGTTGGAAGTCAATGCCCACTTTTCTTCCTTTTTCTCTTTCCCCTTGTATCTCACACCCCCTTTTCCCCGCTCCCTTTCCTTCCCTTAATTTCCTATTGTTTCTTCTCTTCTATGTATTTTATATAATAAAATAAAAACGATAAATGGAAAAAATAATAATAATGCAGAAGAAAAGTAGAGCCACAGATCTCCCTAAAAACTCAAGAAAGAGACAGTAAAACTCACCCCTTCCAAAAAATTAAATAAATAAAACATAGTGAAAGGGCCATCCCGATGCCTGGGAATTGCTCCTCAAATGGACCAGAGTAGTAATGTAATGGCATGTCTGAGAAAGGACACAGCCAACTGGCTGGCTGTAATTCTAAACAGGAGCTACCGGTATTCCTAGACTTAACAATCACAGTTGGGACCAGAATTTCTGTGGCTAAGCAAGACAGTTATTAAAGGAGTCATGCCCAATTTTATGACTCTTTTGCCCAGTTGTTAAGTGAATCATGAGACTGTTAAAGGAAACTGGCTTCTCTCACTTGTCAAACCCTGTCAAACAGCTGTCATAAATGCTGGATGCTGCGGCTGTCATAAATGCCGGCGCATGCCGGTTGCCAAGCACTCAAGTTTTGATCCCGTAACTGTGGGAATGCTGCTACATTCATAAATGCGAGGCTGGTCGCAAGTTGCTTTTTTCAGTGCTATTGTAACTTCGAATGGCCATTAAACGAATGGTTGTAAGTTGAGGACTACCTGCACTCTTTGAGCTGCCTTTTGCTCTGTGTTTGAAGCCAGTGAAGGGGAACGAGGAAAGTAATGGGGAGTGGGGGGTAATTTGCTGTAGAGTAAAAGGTAAATGTTTTCTCTGTCCAGTCGTGTCCAATTCTAGGGGGGAGGCGTTCACCTCCATTTCCTAGTCGAGGGAGCCAGTGTTGTCCAAAGATGCTTTTGTGGTCCTGTGTGTCCATGTGACTATACGCCGAGTCCGCATGGAACACTGTTACCTTCCCACCGAAGTGGTACCTATTTATCTACTCGCATTTTCATGCTTTCGAACTGTTAGGTTGGCAGGAATTGGAACAAGGAACAGGAGCTCACCCTATCATGCGGTGCTCGGGTCTCGAACGACGAACCTTCCAGTCAAAAAGCCCAGCATTTTAATCGCTAGGCCACCACTCCGCCTTGCTATAGAGCAGGGGTGTCAAACTGACAGCCCGCGGGCCGAATGTGTCACGCACAGGCCACGCCCATCCCAGCTCCACGAAGGGGAAAAAAATGTCACGATACGTCCAGTGATGGCAACGTGATGTGGCAAGTTCAGCACCCATGCTCTAGAGGTAAGTGGCTAATTTTAAGGGCAGGAAAGCAACATTCTTTCTTTCTGGCTGCTTCTATCTAGAACTGCAAGACCATAACCTGGTGCCCATCAAGACTAGGAGCCGAGAAGACGGATGGGCCATCAAGATGATTAACATCCTCCTGACCATAACTAATCTACGAAAAGGTGGGTACGCTGGTCGCGGAACACTCCCCGTGCCCCTCAGGATGGCAAAGGCGCTTATATGTGGCTTTGTCCCTGGCAGGTCAGCGTGTGCGGGAATGTCCGGTCTTTGGCGTTATAGAAGGCGTTTTCGTGTTTGGGATTATTGACCAGCTAAATTATACGGCTAAAGGGGAATTGCAACTGAATGAGTTGAAGACAAGGGAAAGCGCTTACATGCCTGTACCTGCGCAGAAGAAGAGGGACCGTTTCCAGGTGGGTCAGGGTGAAATTGGAAGCCCTAGGCTGGTTGAAGGGGACACTTGGAACCCGAATATAGGGAGGGTATTGGCTGTATTCGCACCATGGATTCAGCTGGGGCACTAAAAGACCTAAGAGTTGCATTCACACTTTTAACCGTATAAAGCCTTAGTAAGACCACACCTAGAGTACTGCATCCAGTTTTGGACTATAAAAAAGATGTTGAGACACTAGAAAGAGTACAGAGAAGAGCAACCAGGATGATTAGGGGACTGGAGAGTAAAACATACGATGAACGGTTGCAGGAACTGGGCATGGCTAGTCTAGTCAAGAGAAGGACCAGGGGAGACATGATAGTCGTGTTTCAATATTTGAGGGGCTGCCACAGAGAGGAGCGGGGTCAAGCTATTTTCCAAAGCACCTGAGGGCCAGACAAGGAATAATGGATGGAAACTGATCAAGGAGAGATTCAACCTAGAAATGAGGGGGAATTTTCTGACAGGGAGAGCAATCAACCCATGGAACAGAAGTTGCCTTCGGAAGTTGTGGGAGCTTCATCACTTGAGACTTTCAAGAAAAGATTGGACTGCCATTTGTCAGAAATGATGTAGGGTCTCCTGCTTAGGCGGGGGTTGGACTAGATGACCTATAAGGTCCCTTCCAACTCTGTTATCTGTTAAATTGGGAAAGAACATGGAAGTCATCTAATCCAGGGGTTCCCAACCTCCAGGCTGTGGTCCATTACTGGTCCATGGCCTATTTGTAACCGGGTCGCACAAGTGGCAGGCCGGCATATATGACTGTACGTGCACACACGTAGCTTGACTTGCACGAGTGTTGGGCCATCACACAAGCGCAACTGAACATGTGCAGGCCTGCCACTCGCATAGTCCAGTTTCCTTCTCCTCCCCCCCCCCCCCCCAACCAGGTCTCCAAGCCACAAAGTTCGGGACTGCTGATCTAATCCACCTACCAGCTCAATGCAGGATCCCCTAGATCAGTGTTTTTCAAATTTGGCCACTTTTAAGATGGGTGGACTTCAACTCCCAGAATCCCTCAGTCGGCCTGCCGGCTGGGGAAATCTGGGTGTTGAAGTTCACCATTCTTAATAATGGCTAAGGTTGAGAAATGCTGCACTAGAACATATCTGCAAGATGTGGTGTAGCTGCTGCTGAACTTCAGTGAAGGGAAATTTAGCTCTTCATGTGAGAGTCCTTTCCATAAGCTGACAGTTCATACAGTCAGATAATTTCTCCTGCAGTCTGACTTGATCTTCCTTAACCCAGTGAGTCTGGTCCTAGCCTCTGAAGCAAAAGAAAGTAAGCCTTCCTCCAAATTGTTCTGACCTAGGCTTCCTTGGAAAGTATAAAGCACAATCTTAGTCCCGCAAAACCTCTTTTATTTATACGACTGTAAATTACTTTCATTTACATGAAATAGCGAATAACGAATAAACATTCATTTATCCGCAAGGCTTGACAAACAGTCTTTCAGAGGAAGGTTATCTCATGTGGAGCGCTGCCAAAGAGCTAATTTCCAGGTGCAGGGCAAGGCCAAACTTGGCACAGAGTCACAAACAGAATTTTCAAATCTTGAATCGGCCAGATGAACTAATTGCTTCCTGCAAAAGCTCACGTCCCGTTCGCTCTTCTTTTATGTCTTATGGGAGGGGCCAATCATCTCCAAGCCTTACTCCCAAGTCGACCCTGTTTTCTTAATTGTTCTTGTCGTCTGGCAGCTCTGCACATGTGCACACTGGGAATAAGCTCCCACTGTTCTTCTGCCTCGCTGATGTCAGACTCCGGAGGCTGCACACAACTACCAGATGGCCTTGGCCCCCTCTCTGCCTCTGATGTAGAGCTCTCTGTTCCTCTGTCCTGGTCCTATTAGACCTCTCAGCAGGTTTTGATACCATCGACCATGGTATCATGCTTGGAGGGGCTGGGAGTGGGGGGCACCGTGTTGTGGTGGTTCTCCTCCTTCCTCTCTGACCGTACACAATTTGTGTTGGCAGGGGGACAGAGGTCGACCTCAAGGCGCCTTGTTTGTGGGGTGCTGCAAGAGTCAGTCCTCTCGCCCCTTCTGTTCAACATTTATGTGAAGCTGCTGGGTGAGATCATCCGTGGTTTTGGGGTGAAGTTTCACCAGTACGCTGATGACACCCAGTTGTACGTCTCCACCCTGGACCAGCCCAATGATGCCCTTGACATGATGTCCCGGTGCCTGGAGGCCGTGCGGATCTGGATGGGGAGAAACAAGCTCAGACTCAACCCCTCCAAGACCGAGTGGCTGTGGTTCCCGGTGTCCCAGTATAGTCAGCTGGTTCCATCGCTGACTATTGGGGGCGAGATCTTGGCCCCCTCAGAGAGAGTTCACAACTTGGGTGTTCTCCTGGATGCACGGCTGTCTTTAGAAGATCATATGGCGGCCGTGGCCAGGGGAGCTTTTTATCAGGTTCGCCTGATACGCCAGTTGCGGCCCTTTCTGGACCGGGATGCCCTGCGCACGGTCACTCATGTTACGTCCCATCTGGACTAAATGCTCTCTACATGGGACTCCCCTTGAAGAGCACTCGGAGGCGCCAACTGGTCCAGAATGCGGCCGCGCGGGTGATTATGGGGGCGACACGATGCACCCATGTAACACCTCTCCTGCACGAGCTGCACTGGCTCCCAGTGGTCTTCCGGGTGCGCTTCAAGGTATCAGTTATCACCTTTAAAGCGCTCCATGGCTTAGGACGGGTATATACGAGATCGCCTTCTGCCACCGATAGCCTCCCATCGGCCAATACGCTCCCACAGAGAGGGGCTCCTCAGGGTGCTGTCGGCCAAACAATTTCGACTGGCGACACCCAGGGGTAGAGCCTTCTCTGTGGGGGCACCAGTCCTCTGGAATGAGCTGCCCCTAGAGGTTCGTATGATCCCCGACCTGCATACCTTTCACCACGCCCTGAAGACTCTTTTATTCCAACAAGCCGGGCTGGCCTAATAGGAATTTTAAATTGGGTGTCTGTTAGCTTTTAATTTTGTGGACCAAATTTATATATTTGTTTTTAAATTGTTTTTAAATTTTGTAAATGTATATGTGTTTTAAGATGGCTGTACACCGCCCTGAGTCCTTTGGGAGAAGGGCGGTATAGAAGTGTAATAAAATCTAAATCTAAAACTACAGTCATGTGATCAAAATATGACCACTTCGCAACAGGCATGTATTTACAACAGTTGCAGTGCCTTGAGCTCATGGGATCACCTTCCCAACTGGCTTCTGTTGAGCAAAGTCAATGGGGAAGCTGGATTTGCTTAACGACCAGGTAATTCACTTACCAACTGCAGTAATTTTCTTAACAACCATGGCAGCAAAAAAAGATAAAATTGAGGGTGACTGACTTAATTCCCATCTCACTTAGCAACGCCAATATTGATTCTGATTGTTGTTATAAATTAAGGTCTACCTGTACTCAATGAGACACAGGTGAGGCTGAAAATTGGATGCAACTCAAGAAGGGGTGCTTGATTCATTGCAGGTCTCTTTATATAAACATCTCTTTGATGCGATGGTGCAAGGATGCTTAACCCAAGATATCTTCATACATCACCTTCATCTGAAGCCCAAACAGTCGCTTGGCCAGGAGATCCAAGAACATGCTCAAAAAGCTGGATTCATGGTACAGTGCTTCGAAGACCTCCTGGAGCTGGTGCTCCTCAACTTGACCCACTCAGACATTCCAGCCATCGACAGCCTTCAAATTGAGTACATTCATCAGAAGACCAACACGTTGCTGGGCACAGAAGTCATCACCTATAACCACGATGAATTGATGTCCATGTCCCATTATTTCTTAGCCTATTGGAAAGGCCAAAGGGATCCCAATGGAGTGGACATTGAAGACACTTGGAAATGCTCCTATTGCGTCTTTGCTGACGTCTGTGATTGGCGCCGGCAGAGAGCGGACAGCCTAATCCAAAAGGGCAGGGAGAAGACAACCTGAGCGAGAGCCAAGCCTACCCTAGCCAACTCCCTGCTCCGCCCTTCTGCCATTCTTCCAACAGTACCCGGGCTTGCTAAAGATGGTAGAAGCTGTAGCCCATTGTGTTTTCAACAAGACTTCCTTAGGTCTGTGAATTTATTGGATTGGCCCAACTCCTCCTTGCTCAGGAGCCAAATGACTGTAGTTTCACTGTTTTTCTCTGTCTTTCTGTCACAAAGCTCAATATTCTGAATGTGAACTTGACACCAAGGTATGGGTATTGATGGGTGGGTGTGCAAATGTGTGCATATTTGAAAATATTCCCAGGTCAAAATATTTTATTGTGATAAATTTGCATAGTATTTTTCTCTTAACCTGGACAGCCATAAACTGGACTACTACAGTAGTGGCCCAAATTGTGGAAACCTTTTGGGAAAAGTGTATTTTTGAAATCTGATGGCGAACAACACTGCTTTTTGGGGGGAGTTTCAAGATAATCCTATTCTACTGCTGGAATGGCCTGGGAATAGCTCAGATCTTAACCCAATTGAAAATCTATGGAGCAGCCGACTAAAGAAACTTGTTAGTCAGTCGCGACACAGCAATAAAACCCAGTTAATAGAAGCAATCATTCAATCTTGGTTTCACATTATAACAGCTGCAGAACTAAAAGACTTGGTTCACTCCATGGGAAGACATTGTAAGGCCGTAATTCATGCTGAAGGTTACCCAACTAAGTATTAACTCACATGGTGATAATTTTTGTACTGTATATCTCGTTTTTTCTATGGTGATAATTTTTGTGTATCTCATTTTTTCTACGTGTTTCACTTTTCTTCTTTATACTATAACTGCTATTCTAATAGCAAATCCTTCATAAAAGTTATTGCATTACATTCTTGATTAATTATCTTTTCATTGATATATAATTTTATGATACTACTCCCCAAAAAAGTGGTGTTATTAGCTAGTTTTAGAAAATACACTTTTCCCAAAAGGTTTCCACAATTATTGCCACTACTGTATACTAATCCAACGCATCTAGACAGGTTCAGCATCCTCTGGTTCTCACCCAAAGGCAATCTAGGACAGTGGTCCCCAATCTTTTGGGCACCAGGTACCAGTTCCACGGAGAATGGTTTTTCTGTAGACCGGAGGGTGTGTGAATTCATGTGCTGCCTGCATCCTGCAGATGGGGCTTCGCTTGTTTGCATGGCCCAGTTTCTGGCATGCCATGGTCTAGTGCTGGTCCATGGACCGGGGGTTGGACACTCCAGGTTTAGGGGATGCACCTTCTCTCTTAGCCCTGCCCTCTGGAACAGCATCTCTCTCCCTCCATCAAGACCTGTGTGAAATGGAGATTTTGTTATACTTTAAACTATTCCTCCATCATAAATTTCTTCTACAGGTAGCCTTCGATTTATCACCACAATTGAGCCCAAAATTGTTAACTTGAGTTTTGCCTCATTTTATGATCTTTCTTGCCACAGTTGCTAAGTGAACCACTAGAGTTGTTAACTTAGTAACACGGTTATTAAGTGAATCTGGCCTCCCCATTGACTTTGCTCGTCAGAAGATCTAAAAAGGAGATCACATGACCCCAGGACTCTGCAACCATCATAAATATGAGTCAGTTGCCAAGCCTCTGAAATTTTTTTTTCATATTTTATTTATATAACACTCAATTTTCATCAAACAGTGTGTATTCTGGGTACAATTATATTTTGATATAATTTTATACATTTTCATTATATTTATAGTCAACCTCATATTAATAATATAATAACATTATGATATAATAACCTTAATACTTACCATTTAACATTATCTCCTTTAACGATGCTCCTCTGTCCCATTTCATTTCTAACTTCTATTTCTATTCCATTGATAAAATGTTGTTGTTAGTTACGAAGTCATGTCCGACCCATTGTGACCCTATGGACAACGTTCCTCCAGGCCTTCCTGTCCTCTACCATCCTCCGGAGACCTTTAAGCTCATGCCTACCCTTGAAAAGTGTTCGGAGACTACAGTTGATCCAGAATGCAGCTGCGCAAACTGTCGTGGGTGCACCTAGATACACCCACATTTCACCAATTCTCCGCGAGCTGCACTGGCTCCCTATTGGTCTCTGGTCACAATTCAAGGTGTTGGTTATTACCTTTAAAGCCCTACATGGCTCAGGGCCAGGTTATCTTCGAGACCGCCTTCTGCCGCATAGCTCCCAGTGACCAGTAAGATCCCACAGAGTTGGTCTCCTCCAGGTCCCGTCAGCTAAACAATGTCGGCTGGCGGGCCCGCGGGGGAGGGCCTTCTCTGTGGCTGCCCCAGCTCTCTGGAACCAGTTACCTCCTGAGGTCCGGACCATCCCCACCCTATTGGTCTTCTGAAAAGCGGTGAAGACCTGGCTTTTCCGGCAGGCCTAGGGCCGTTGATCTCGCTCTTGTGATCTGGCGAGATCCGGCCATGTATGGTGTGAATGAGTTTTTAATGTTTTTAATGTTTTTTAATTTTTCAATATCTTTTTATAATGATTTTTTAAATGTATTGTGAGCTGCCCTGAGTCTTCGGAGAAGGGCAGCATATAAATTTAATTAATTAAATTAATTCAGTGACTCCATTCAGCCACCTCATTCTCTGTCGTCCCCTTCTTCTTTTGCCCTCAATCTTTCCCAGCATTAGGCTCTTCTCCAGTGAGTCCTTCCTTCTCATTAAGTAGCCAAAGTATTTTGAGTTTCATCTTCAGGATCTGGCCTTCTAAAGAGCAGTCAGGGTTGATCTCCTCTAGGACTGAATGTATCATCTCTGATATGGGATAATATGTATCCCATATCAAAAAGTATTCAGTTTCTTCTTTATCTTTTTTTTTTTTATTGTAAAAGTTTTACAATTACATTTTCACCCCATTTTCACCCCCCTAACCCACCCCAAACTCCCCAACCCACCCTCCCTAACCCCCCCTATCCCTCCCCTCCCCCCCGGACTTCCATAGAGTATACCCCATCATTGTCCCCTTTATATAAAAAAAAACCTTGAACTTTAAACCCCCCCATCCCCCATATCATTTTTCATCTTCACATAGTTCAAATATTTCTATCTTGATGTAATATAATACTATCAATAAAAAGCTATTTGATACTTCCTAGTTTGATATTTGTTCTGCACATAATCTATCCATTTTTTCCATTCACATTCATAAGTCTCTTGTGAGCGGTCTTTTAAATATGCTGAAATCTTCGCCATCTCAGCGAAACTGGCCATCTTCAAAATCCATTCTTGAACGGTAGGCAAAGCTTCATTTTTCCAATATTTACCTATCAACAATCTCGCTGCTGTAATCATATACAAAATCAACTTTGTTTCATCCACTGTAAAACCCTTAGCTATACCCAATAGAAACAATTGTGGAGAAAATTGATTTTTTTTCTTCAAAACATTCTGCATGACCCACCAAATTTTTATCCAAAAAGCCTTAACTTTCTTACAGGTCCACCAAATATGATAATATGTAGCATCTGTACAATCACACCTCCAACATTTTGGCTGAACATTAGGGTACATACACGACAGTTTCTTAGGGTCTAGATGCCATCTATAAAACATTTTGTAAAAATTTTCCCTCAAATTCTGCGACTGTAAATTTAACATTCTGGACCCAAATTTTTTCCCATGTTTCCAACATCACTGGTTCTTCAAAATTTTGTGCCCACTTAATCATACAGTCTTTAACTAATTCAGTTTCTGAGTCCCTTTCTAGCAAAACATTATAAAGCCTTTTGATATGCATTGGACCTTTCTCTCTTATATGTCTAACCAATTCTTCCTCATGCAACATAATACCAGTTTTTTGGTCCTCTTTCCATCTCAATTGTAATTGATTATATTGTAACCAAGTTAAATTAATCCCTTCGTCCAACAGTGTCTGCAAAGTCTTCAGCTGCCATCTGCCCGCATCTGTAAAAAGAACCTCTTTGTATAAAAACCCCCCGAGTGACATTATATTTGTATTCCACAAAGTATGACCAAGATCCAGCCATAGCGGTATTTTATAATCCCATTTGAGTCGGTGCTTCTTCCAAACTCTCATCAAAGAGTCTCTAAGTATATGACTTTTAAATACTTTATCAACTTTGTCATCATAAAATAAGTAAGCGTGCCATCCAAATTCAAGATCAAAACTTTCTGCATTCAATATTCCAGCCTTTTTACTTCCAAACCAATCACTTGTTAAGGTTAAAGCTGCTGCATCATAATATAGCTGTAGGTTTGGAAGTTTAAGACCTCATCTTTCTGGAACATCTTGCATAATTTTCAATTTCACTCTCGGCTTCTTCTCGTTCCAGACAAACTTATTCACTCCAGATTGCCAAACTTTCAATTGTTTATCACTTTTAAGCACCGGAATCATTTGAAACAAAAAAAGAAATCTTGGCAAAATATTCATCTTAACTGCTGCTAGTTTCTTCTTTATCTTTAATAGCAGGTGTTAATCTATCCATTTCTGCACAATTAATATTTTTTTACTTACATTCTCCTCAGACGGGGTCTCATCACTTTTCCATTGTTGCACAAATAAAATTCTGACTGCCGTTAATATATGCAAAATCAAATATGCAGTCTTTTTATCATATTTTTCTGGTAGAATGCCCGGCAAAAATATCTCTGGTTTCAGATCTATATGTAGTTTTATCATTTTTTTTTCCAGCCATGTGTGTATTTTTGTCCAATATTTTCTTGCTCTTGGCCATGTCCACCACATGTGATAATATGAACCAGATGTTTGATGACACTTCCAACATTTATCCGATTTATCTTTAAACATTTTTTGCCAGTCTTGCCGGTGCAAAGTGCCATCTATAAAACATTTTATACAAGTTTTCCTTATATGCAGTTGACATCATCAATTTAATATTTATATCCCACTATTTCTGCCATTTGTCTAATTCTATTGCGTATCCAAAGTTTTTAGCCCAAGCAAACATTGTCTCTTTTACCTGCTCACTTTCAAGTTTAATACTGAATAGGTAACAATATAATGTCTTTATCAATTTATCATCTGTTCCAGTCAATATCTAATCTAATTCTGTTAATTCTTTGTTGAAACCATACAGTTTAGCATCTTTCTCATAACAAGATTGTATCTGCATATAAGGCCACCATGCTATATCTATCCCCTGACTTCTAAATTCTTGTTTTGTTTTTAACTCCTCTTCATCATTCAATATAACCTTATATCTTACAATTTTTTCAGGGGTGAAATCTACTTACCTTCCCTACCGGTTCAGAAGTGCACCCGCATGCGCAGAGGGTAAAAAACAGGTTACTTCCTGTTTAAAACCAGAAAGTAATGACAATCGGGCGGGTGGGCAGAGCCTCAAGCTGCCATCACTACCAGTTCTCTGAACTGGGAGCATTTCACTCCTGAATTTTTTCCATGTTAATAACATTCAGATCAGTGGTGAAATGTAAATTTTGTTACTACCGGTTCTGTGGGCATGGCTTGGTGGTGGTGGGAGGGGGGGAGTAATATGACTGAGTGGGCATGGCCAACTTTTTTAAAAAAAACTTTTAAAACTATTTTTTCTACAACCTCTTCAACTGAAGAGGTTGTAAAAAAATGCTTTTAAAAGCCTCCGACAATCCCAGCTGACTTGCCTAATCAGCAAAGGCTTTCTTTTTTTTTTTTAAAGCCTCTGACGATCCCAGCTGACTTGCCTGATCGGCAGAGGCTTTTTTTCCTTTTAAAAACATTTTTTCTATAACCTCTTCAGTGAAAGAGGTTGTAGAAAAAATGCTTTTAAAAGCCTCTGATGATCCCAGCTGAGCCGTGCAATCATCAGAGGCTTTTTTTTTTTTTTTAACTTTTAAAAGCATTTTTTTGGCCAAAGAGGTTGTAGAAAAAATGCTTTTAAAAATAAAAAAAAAAGCCTCTGATGATTGCACGGCTCAGCTGGGCAATGTGGGGGGCAGGGATTTTTGCTACTTGTTCTCCGAACCACCCACCTCCATTGCTACTGGATCGGGCGATACGGTCCGAACCGGAGCATTTTACCCTGATTCGGATGTACTAATGCCTCCATAGTGTAAAGCCAGATTGGTATTTTCAAATAATGTTGTTCTTTCATCTTAGTCCAGACTAATAACAGTGCATTTCTTACATAATTAAAGTTAACAGTAACAGAGTTGGGAAGGGATCTTGGAGGTCATCTAGTCTCTGAAAATAACTATGTATTTTATTCTTCCCATACCACAAGAAAGCTTGCCAACCTAGTTGGAGATCGTGCCCTTCTAATGTTAATAATCTTACGTGTCTCAAACTTATCCATTCTTCCACCCATGTAAGTACCAAGGCCTGGTAGTACAATTCCCAATCCGGTAGTCCGAAACCCCCTCCTTTCTTTGATTCCTGCAACATTTTTAAACCTATTCTTGCTTTTTTTTCCCCCTAACCATATATATCTTGATATTATTTTATTTAATTCCTCAAAATATTTTTTCTCCAATTTTAATTGTATTGTTTGAAATAAATATAGCAGTCTTGACAGAATATTCAAGCGTCTGGATTTTGATCATGTGACCATGGGGGGGGCATTGCAACGGACATGTGAAAAATAATCATAAGTTACTTTTTTCATTGCCGCTGTAACTTTGAACAGTCACTAAACTTTGGAAGTCAAAATTGGAAGTCAAAAGACTACCTGTATTAATCTCCTTATCAGTTCTTTTCCTAGACATGGAGTATTCTAGATGTAGGGAAGGGCATTATTATTTTCAGTCTCATTAATGATGGTGAACTGTTAACACTCCACCTTAAAAAATCATGTTTGAATAGAATAGATAATAGGAGCAGTGGTTAGAACTGCAATAGCACTTAGACTTATATACTGCTTCACAGTGCTTTTACAGCCCTCTCTAAGCAGTTTACAGAGTCAGTATATTGCCCCCAACAATCTGGGGGCCTCCTTTTACCAACCTTGGAAGGGTGGAAGGCTGAGTCAACCTTGAGCCGGTGAGAATCGAACTGCTGGCAATTGGCAGTCAGCAGAATTAACCTGCCAACACTGCATTCTGACCATTGTGCCGCTACAAAATGCAGTACTGCAGGCTAACTCTGGGGAGGGGAGGGGAGAGGGGGGAGGGAGAGAGAAAATGAAAGAAGAGAGGCTTCTGACTGGGAGAATGGGTATAGTCAGTTGTGGCTCAGCAGTCTTGCAAGACAGTCAAACTGCCAAAAATGGACAAACTTCTACTAAAGGAGACACTAATTAAACCAGGGATTCGCTGCTGGGGGTTCGTAGGGGTTCGGGAGAACCTCTAGCTAAGATTCTATGCAGTTCGGAAAACCCCCAAATCCCACTCCTGGCTGGCCCTGCCCACCCCGCCCTTCTCAGGAGTCCCCACGTGGCCCGTTTTGGATGCAGGTAAGTGCAGGGCGCACGCGGAGGCTCAGGGAGGGTGAAAAACGGGCCTCCCGGAAGTTCAGGAAGACCAGAAACCGGCCTCCGGAACTTAGGGAGGCCGTTTTTGCCCTCCTGAAGGCTCAAGGAAAGACTCCAGAACCTGGGGAGGGCAAAAATGACCCCCGACGCCCACGCCCCCCCCCCGCTGTGGTGCAGGAGGCAGACTAGGCCACGCCCACGCAGCAACCAGGCAGAGAACCCCTTGCTAAAATTTTTGAAGCCCACCCCTGAATTAAACTAATCCTATTTCCCATCTCTAATCATTTTGAGTCTCTTGAGAGAGGCTTTGCAAACAGAAATAGAAAAGCAGCAATTATCGGAGCGTTCTATTTCTCTTGGAGAAGATTTGAAAGACTGTTCTGATTTTACGAAAAGCCTTCTCTTTTCATTTTTCAGTCTGTTCTGCTGCCTCCAGATACTTCTAAAGAAAATAAGAACACAATTACCACGGGGTAAGGAACG